ACATCGGTGAGGATAGAAGAGCCCATCCTTCACAGAAGTTGTTTATGAACCGACACACCGCTTTATCGGAAATCAGTTGGTGACTGGATACTTCAGATGGAGACCTGACGGAAAGGATGTTTCATGTCTCTAAAAACATGTTTCCTCGATTCCTCTTTCCTCACATATTACATGGGCAGGACCAAGATGCAACAAAATAAAAATGCAAGTGAGGAAAACATGGATGCAATTAAGGGAACTGAGATGTACCCAGAGAGTCCTGACAGACCAGGTGACCATGTACCACTAGGGAAGATGTCACTCACAGAGGCTGTGAGGGTTGAATGCTTGAGGCTGACAAGGCTCCCAGTCATCCATGTCAGAGTCTTCATCCTCATCTTCATCAGAATCATCTGTGGAGTCTGTGGCCCCGAGGGGACTGGTGGGGGGATCTGCTATGTCTGCCATGGAGGTGAGCGAATTGGATGCAGACAACTGCTCCTGTGTGTTTGATCATTTCACAAATTTAAAACTCACTCAACTGTTCTGTTTATCAATATGTGGGAAGAACTGACAAGCTAACCTGTGATATTTATGCATATTATGCATCATGTGCCATTCTACCTGCACTACAAATATCTCTATGTAAACCTAATATGAACTCCACCTATGTAGACCACAAACCTACTGGAGTAACGGAATGTTTTGTGTCCAGTGGGAAACGGGGCCTATCGTTGTGTACATCCATTGTATAACAATTTGTGCTTATGTTTCCCTCCTTTATGCTAGATTGTGTGTTAAAAGAACAGGCAAAAGCTATTTTCTTGTTTGGAAAGGTAACAATCTATCCTCACCTGGGAAACTGGCTCCAGGATAGCTTGCGGAGCCTCTGCTACATTACTGAGAACATGCAGATTGGCAGTATTCATGTTCTGTCCTCCGGGCAGCAAAACTGTGACCTACAGTTGAGACACACAGTTTCACTCTGATTCTGTAAAACACTGTGACACAATGTGGCAATGACAAAACTGTGTC